ATAGGAGGGTGAGAAAGAGGGATGAGAGGAGGAGAAAAGGAGGAGAAAAGAGGGAGAGAGAAGAAGAGACAAGGAGAAAAGAGGAGAAGACGGGGAGAGAGGAGGAGAAAGAGGGAGAAGAGGAGGAAGAGAAAAGTGGAGGAGTAAAGAGAAGAGGAGAGACAGGGAGAAAAGAGGGAGAACAGGGGGAAAAGAAAAGAGGGAGAGACGGGGAGAGAGGAGGAGGAAAGAAGAGGGGAAAGAGGAGCAGAGGATGAAGAGGATGAAGAGGAGAGGGTCAGATTTAGAAAACCAGTTTCTAACTCATCAAACTACAAAAATGTAAAACATACAGCAGAATTCAGTCTTTAAACAGTTTTCTGACCCAGAATCCCGCAGGAAAACCGCGGCAGTGATAAAAACACACGGATCCTGCTGCACCACATCTGCCTCAAACACCCAAACATCTGCGTTTCTCCCGGTTTAAAACATCTTTACCGTTTATTTCCCGCTTTCTCACCCCACAATCATCACGACACCCTGTAAACTGAAGTAAATATCCACAGAATCCCGCTTTAAATATGGTTTTGGAGCCGTTTCGTGCCGTTTCGTACCTGTCTGCGCCGCTGCCTGATCCGCTGCGTCAGAGCTCTGTCCGCGTCCACTAAAGATGACGTCACAGGAGAGGAGCCGGTTTAGATAAAAACAAAACAAAAACAAACAAAAAAAGCGCATGTACTTTTGGAATGACTTGGAATGAATTTGGAATAAATGAGAATGATTCAAATAACAAAAAAATTATAATAATACTAATAATTTTGATATTTTAATTTTGATATTTACTGATAGATACTCTTCTGTCTTTTTATGTTGTGGCAGAATAATGAAATAACAAACTGTTTTCCCATTATACTGTTTTTTACGTTCTTAATTGAAATTACAAACCCACGATTTAATGAAAAACACAGACTTTCTGGCGTCTTTGAGAAAGATATTCCTGCAATATACATATATATATATATATATATATATATATATATATATATATATATATATATATATATATATATATATATATATATATATATATATTTATATATATATACTTTATAAATTCTCTAAATTATTGCACAAATCCCAAAGCCATGAAAACAAAAGCACTTTGTGTGGAATTTGAAATATAAATGTGAATATATTTATTATTTTTCTACATTTGTATCATACATAATGCAGATTTTGCACATGCTGAGTTCTGTGAAGATCAATTCTTAATCCTCCAGTGATGCCGTTGTATTTTACACTGTGGTCACACCGACTTGTCAAAGCCTGATCCCGTCAGATCTGGTCAGCTCAGCAGGTCCAGGTCTGGACTGGACTTGGATGGAGACACTGGGAAAAACAGGAGCCACAGGAGGCGCCAGTCACAAAAACTGTCTTTGTGTCCTTAGGCAAGACACTTCCCCCACATTGCCTAGTATGAATGTGATGTGTGCGTGAGTGATGTTGGTGGTCGGAGGGACCGATGGCACCGATTGGCATGGCAGCCATGCTTCTGTCAGTCTGCCCCAGGGCAGCTGTGGCTACAGTAGTAGTTTAGCACCACCAGGTGTGGAGAAAAAGAATAATGAATCTCTAAATGTTCTGTAAAGCCTCTTTGTGACATATGTCTGTGAAAAGCGCTATAGAAATAAAGACTTAGTGTATGTTTGAAAAAAAAAAAAAGAGGGTCTTGTCTTGAAGGTGCTTGGACTCAATCTTGTCTCAGTCTCGAGGACTGACACCTGACGACTGATAAAATGGAGATAGATTTATAAAAACATTAATATAAATGTGCTAAAAATAACTGCAAAATACAAATAAATGTAGGAAATTACAAAGATGGTCTTGATTTGGTCTTGATGGACCGTGATCTCGGTCTTGTCTTGGTCTCAGCCTTTAAAAGTCTCGGTCTTGTCTCCGTCTCGACCCTCAGAGGTCTTGGTCTTGTCCTGGTCTTTGGACTCTGTGGTCTCGGACTGGTCTTGGTCTCGATTAGTGCGGCTCTCGACTCCAACACCATGTGGAGTGTAGTAATAGTTGTTTGTGATGACGCTGATCTCAAGTCAAGAAAATGAAACATAAATGTGTTTATTTTATTTACAAAACCGTTTATTTCTTTTGAAAAATATATAACTGTAAACAGTTTTTAGAAAAGTATTTAAATCAGTTTTAAAACAGTTTTTAAATCAGGGCACAGACTCAAAGCACCGAGGTTTTCACAGCAAAAGAATAAATTAACATCAAACCAAACAACACGAATTGCACGTCGTAATAAATAAAATCGATAAATAAACATCAGGTAAAAGTTCCATTCAAATAGATAATCATAAAAATATAAAAGATATGGCACATTTCAAAACAATTCAATGAATAAATTAGGTCAGAATAAATTAAAATCACACTTTAAATCATCTGAGGAGGTCGGGATCAGTCGGGCTGATCTCTGATTGGTCACACGATGCTACACTCGCGCTGCAGGTTTGGTCGGACGCCAGATTTCAATTCGTGATGTCATCGTTTGAGACTGAGGGCGGGGCCTGAGAGTCACTGTTTTTGAAAGAAATCTCCAAACTTCTGATCCACAAATGTTTCTCTTTTTCTCGTTTGTTTAGCTCCACAAACTCGTCATAATAACCTGTATTTTTTTAAAGTCCTTCCGGCGGAAACTCTCTCGTCTTTGCGGTGGAATAACGACTCCGCTTTCTTTCTTGATGCTGTTGTGGAAAAATAATTTGACTTTCATTTATTTCTCGCGACAGACGAGAAGAGCCTGAACTTTGTGCCAGTTTTTGTTCCATGTGGATAGGCCCGGGAATGACAGAAATATGAACCATAAACCGACAAATCTGCGTCTGACAGCTACAAGAAACTCCACCTGACTCTCACCTGTCTCACCTGTCACACCTGTCACACCTGTCACACCTGTCACACCTGTCACACCTGTCTCAGCTCTGGTCAAACCATATCATGAATAAAACACATGTGCTCAAGAAATAGTACAAGAAATATCACACAAAAGGCTCAATAAATAAATCTAAACTAGTCAAAAAATATCAAAATTCTGAATTCAAGTCACGTCAAACCTTGTCGATTTTTTTGTTTCGCGCCAAAATCTAAAAACGTGCCGCGGTTTACACATAAATAAAATAAAAGTAAGAGGTCTGTGCTCTGGAGTGCTTCAGTTTGTAAAGGTGTTTCTTTTTTTTTTTCCGTCACAGACTCGAGAAGCGAGACGATCGAGAGCGCGACGTCACCCAGTCAAACGAAGCTCATCGAGGCTCGAATCAGGCTCGAATATCATCGACCAAAGAGCCAATCGGGAGCGAGATTCTCTGTGTAAATGTGTCTAAAATCGAAGTGTAGCTCTATCCCTGGTCTTATCTTGTCATTTTAGTGCATGTTTGTTAAAAATCGGACGTTTGAGTCCAAAGTCGAGTCTGTTTCGGCCTCTTTACGATCAACCGCGGCCGGGACATTTGAATTTTCCGTTTGGAGAGAGAGCAGCAGTCGCGTTTCTTCTGGATGGTGGTTTTCGCGTTGGGTTAAAAGTCGATCTCGGTCATGTCCGTCGGCGTCCCGGGGCGCGGCTCCTCCGTCAGTTCCTCGTCCTTCTGCGAGGGGGCGCTCTGGAGTCCACCGCTCAGACGCTCACGGAGAACCAGCTCGATCATCTCCGAGAAGTACTGCAGCACGGCCTGGAGGAGGAGGAGAGGAGGAGGAGAGGAGGAGGAGGAGGAGGAGGAGGAGGAGGAGGGAGAGGAGAGGAGAGAGGAGGAGGAGGAGGAGGAGGAGAGAGGAGAGGAGAAGAGGAGGAGGAGAGGAGAGAGGAGGAGGAGGAGGAGGAAGGAGGAGGAGGAGAGGGTGAGGAGAGGAGGAGGAGGAAGAGGAGGAGGAGAGGAGGAGGAGGAGGAGGAGGAGGAGAGGGAGGAGGAGGAGAGGAGAGGAAGAGGAGAGGGTGAGGAAGAGGAGGAGGAGGAGGAGGAGGAGGAGGAGAGGAGAGGAGAGGAGGAGGAGGAGGAGGAGAGGAGGAAGAGGAGGAGGAGGAGTAGGAGGAGAGAGAGGAAGAGGAGGAGGAGGAGATAAGGAAGAGGAGGAGGAAAAAATGAGGAGGAGAGGGTGAGGAGGAGGAGGAGGAGAGGAGGAGGAGAAGGTGGGGTCAGATGGTCAGATGGTCAGAGGAGGTTCTGGTGCAGAGGAGGACTCACGGGGTCGGTCTGGCACAGGTGGGCGAGTCTCTCCGTGCTCAGCTCCAGGTTCTCCAGGTTCTCCAGGTTCTCCAGGTTCTCCAGGTTCTGCGGGGCCCTCAGACCTTTGAGGGCGCAGCACAGAGCTCCGGCGGCGAGCAGGGACGGCGGGGCCCCGAGGAAGCGCGAGTCGCACACGCACAGAGCGGCGAGCGTGTCGGCGTGTCTGCGCGCCGTCGACGCCAGGTCCGAGCCGCCGCGACGCCACGACGTCACCGCCGCCGACAGGAAGTGAGGCAGGAAGTCCTGAGGCGTGACGGACGCCAGGTCCCAACGAAGAGTCGCCACGAGAACTCGCTCCATCTCCTGAACCAGACTAAACCAGGACTAAACCAGGACTAAAACAACCAGGACTAAACCAGGACTAAACCAGACTAAACCAGACTAAACCAGGACTAAACCAGGACTAAACCAGGACTAAACCAGGACTAAAAAAAGGGCTGAACCAGGTCTACAGAAAAACTAAACTGGGATTAAATTTGGAGTCTCAAGTTTAATAAATGTACCTTATTTCTTTAAACAATATTCCACGATCAGTCATGGAATAAATAAAATAAATAAAATAAAAGTACAGTATAGTAAAGTATAATAAAGTAAAGTAGTAAATTAAAGTATAGTAAAGTACAGTAAAGAATAGTAAGGTAAAGTAAAGTAGAAGTAAAAAAAAAGTAAAAGAAAAGTAAAGTATAATAAAGTACAGTAAAATATAGTAAAGTAAATTAAAGTATATTAAAGTAAAGTAAAGTACACTACAGTGTAATAAAGTAAAGTAAAGTAAAGTAAAATAAAGTAAAGTAAAGTAAAAAATAAAAGTAAAGTAAAAGTAAAGTAAAGTAAAATAAAAGTAAAGTAAAAGTAAAAGTACAGTACAGTACAGTAAAGTACAGTACAGTACAGTACAGTAAAAGTAAAGTAAAGTAAAGTAAAGTAAAGTACAGTACAGTACAGTAAAGTACAGTACAGTACAGTACAGTACAGTACAGTACAGTAAAGTACAGTACAGTACAGTACAGTACAGTACAGTAAAGTAAAAGTAAAGTAAAGTAAAGTACAGTACAGTACAGTACAGTAAAGTAAAGTAAAAGTAAAGTAAATTAAAGTAAAGTAAAGTAAAAGTAAAAGTAAAGTAAAGTAAAGTAAAGTAAGTAAAGTAAAGTAAAAGTAAAAGTAAAGTAAAGTAAAGTAAAGTAAAGTAAAAGTAAAGTAAAGTAAAGTAAAGTAAAGTAAAGTAAAGTAAAGTAAAGTAAAGTAAAGTAAAGTAAAAGTAAAGTAAAGTAAAGTAAAGTAAAGTAAAGTAAAGTAAAGTACAGTACAGTACAGTACAGTAAAGTAAAGTAAAGTAAAGTAAAGTAAAGTAAAGTAAAGTAAAGTAAAGTAAAGTAAAGTAAAGTAAAGTAAAATAAAGTAAAGTAAAGTAAAGTAAAGTAAAGTAAAGTAAAGTAAAAGTAAAGTAAAGTAAAGTAAAGTAAAGTAAAGTAAAGTAAAGTAAAGTAAAGTAAAGTAAAGTAAAGTAAAGTAAAGTAAAGTAAAGTAAAGTGACGGGTCCTGACCCTGAGGCTGTGCGAGCTGAAGCTGTACTCGGCGGCGGCGCACAGCGTGTCCACGGGAAGCGTCTCGCACTCGGTCAGTTTGGACGCCACGAGGACGCAGGACGCCACCAGACAGACGGGAGCGGCAGGGACCGACAGGGTCAAACTCAAGAACCTGTCCAACAGGGACACCGACAGGGGGAACACCTGCTCCTCACAGCCCACGTCCGAGCACACCTGAACCAAACACACACCAGAAAGACGAGAGACGAGGAGGTCAGTGTGCACGTCAGAGGAGACGAGAGAGGAAAGGAAAGGAGAGAAGAAAGGAAAGGAAAGGAGAGGAGAGATTAGAAGAGGGAGGAGAGAGAGAGAGGAGACAAGAGAGGAGAGAGAGAGTGAAGAGGAGAGAGGAGACAAGACAGGAAAGGAGAGAGGAGAGAAGAAAGAAAAGGAGAGGAAAGGAGAGGAGAGAGGAGAGGAGAGAGGAAAGGAGAGAGGAGACGAGAAAAGAAAGGAGTTAGGAGAGGAGAGGGGGAGAGAGGAGAGAAGAGGAGACAAGACAGGAAAGGAGAGAGGAGACGAGAAAAGAAAGGAGTTAGGAGACGAGAGAGGAAAGGAAAGAGGAGGAGAGAGGAGACAGGGGTCAACATTAGAACATTAGAACCTTAGAACATTAGAACACGACTTAAAGTTCACAAGAGTCAGTTTGATTGATTTACGACCTTTAAAAAAACACACATATACAGTCGATTTATATACAATAATGAGATTTAGACCTGGTTTAGTCCTGGTTTAGTCCTGGTTTAGTCCTGGTTTAGACCTGGTTTAGTCCTGGTTTAGACCTGGTTTAGTCCTGGTTTAGACCTGGTTTAGTCCTGTTTAGACCTGGTTTAGACCTGGTTTAGTCCTGGTTTAGTCCTGGTTTAGACCTGTTTTAGTCCTGGTTTAGTCCTGGTTTAGTCCTGTTTTAGACCTGGTTTAGTCCTGGTTTAGACCTGTTTTAGACCTGGTTTAGTCCTGGTTTAGTCCTGGTTTCGACCTGTTTTAGACCTGTTTTAGTCCTGGTTTAGTTCTGGTTTAGTCCTGGTTTAGACCTGTTTTAGTCCTGTTTTAGACCTGGTTTAGTCCTGGTTTAGACCTGTTTTAGTCCTGGTTTAGTCCTGGTTTAGTCCTGTTTTAGACCTGGTTTAGACCTGGTTTAGTCCTGGTTTAGACCTGTTTTAGACCTGGTTTTAGTCCTGGTTTAGTCCTGGTTTAGACCTGTTTTAGACCTGTTTTAGTCCTGGTTTAGTTCTGGTTTAGTCCTGGTTTAGACCTGTTTTAGACCTGTTTTAGACCTGGTTTAGTCCTGGTTTAGTCCTGGTTTAGACCTGTTTTAGTCCTGGTTTAGACCTGTTTTAGACCTGGTTTAGTCCTGGTTTAGTCCTTTTTTAAACCTGGTTTAGTCCTGGTTTAGTCCTGGTTTAGACCTGTTTTAGACCTGGTTTAGTCCTGGTTTAGTCCTGGTTTAGACCTGGTTTAGTCCTGGTTTAGACCTGTTTTAAGTCCTGGTTTAGACCTGTTTTTAGAGTTTAGTCCTGGTTTAGTCCTGGTTTAGTCCTGTTTTAAACCTGGTTTAGTCCTGGTTTAGACCTGTTTTAGACCTGGTTTAGTCCTGGTTTAGTCCTGGTTTAGACCTGTTTTAGACCTGGTTTAGTCCTGGTTTAGTCCTGGTTTAGACCTGTTTTAGACCTGTTTTAGAAGGGTTTAGTCCTGTTTAGACCTGGTTTAGACCTGGTTTAGTCCTGGTTTAGACCTGGTTTAGTCCTGGTTTAGTCCTGGTCTCACCTCCATGGCCCACTTGACCAGTTCGTCTCTGCTCTGTGGCGCCCCCTGGATGAGTCGGACGTAAAGCGCAGAGGGCAGGTATCTCCTCTCCAGCTGCAGGAGCCTCGTCACGGCCCTCTGCCCCACCACCGACGGGTCCCAGGCGGCCGGGACCTCGCACCGCTCCTGGACCTGCTCCTGGACCTGCTCCTGGACCTGCTCCTGGACCTGCTCCTGGACCTGGACCGGGTCTGGACCGGGATCTCAGCCAGGACTCTTGACTCCCTGTGGTCGTCCTCCAGAAAACTGTGAGCGTCTCCTGCTTCTTCACACCAGAGCGACACGGACACCTCCTGGGACATGTTTACTTCTACTGCTGCTACTACTGCAAATACTACTACTACTACTACTACTACTACTACTACTACTACTACTACTACTACTACTACTACTACTACTACTACTACTACTACTACTACTACTACTACTACTTCGACAACTTTTAGGAAGCCACCGCAAATTCCAATAACTTCTTCAGTCTAACTTTCAAAATAAAATTAAAAATACTACTACTACTTTTGCTAAACCTATTACTACTACTACTACTACTACTACTACTACTACTACTACTACTACTACTACTACTACTACCACTAGTATTACTACTTCTACTTGTACTACTACTTCTACTTTTACTTTGCTCTGACTTTTAGGAAGCCGCCGCAAATTTTGATAACTTTTTCAGTCTTGCTTGCAAAGTAAAGTTGCAAATATTACTACTACTTTTGCGAGATCAATTAGTACTACTACTACTACTACTACTCCTACTACTACTACTTTTACTACTACAAAAGGAGAAATTAGTGACTTAGTTTAGCCACTCTTCTCGTTTCAAATGTCTTTCAAATCACTACAGCGAATTATTTTACTGTCTCCACCTAAGTTTGAAATCCTCTGTCCCTGTTTTCCCGTTTTTCCGTGTCTTTTTCCTCGTGTCTTTTTCCTCGTGTCTTTCCGTGTCTCCGGTGGTGAATCCCGGCCGGGCGTTTTTTTTCCTCGGCTTTTATACGGGCAGGGGGAGTGGTCCGAAGTCTGAAAAGATTGAAAAAAAAGAAGGGAGGACACTTGGACGAGTAAAACAATGAAAGAGACAGAAACAATGTGCAACAATCGAGCAACAGGTGGAGGGAGGGACGGAGGGATGGGACGGAGGGATGGACGGAGGGAGGGATGGGTGGACCGGAGGGCGGAGGGGGGGATGTGGCAGATTGTGCCCGAGGAGGAGAAAGGGGAGCCGGGCTGAAGGGGCCGAGCGAGGGAGGAGGAGGAGGAGGAGGAGGTCAACCACAAATCACAACAAAAACACAAGAAACTGTTTAAGTTTAATTCATGATCCGTGTCCCGTTACACACGTTTGAATTTCAATTAAGGGCGAAAAACTAAAAATAAAACAAAATAAAACGGGAAAACAGTTCGCTATTTCATTTTTCCGTTTGAGGTTACGAGTAGACGATGACGGTCTGAACAGAAGACGTCAAATCGGCACTGCGTCTTCACTTTTTATTCCGCGTTTAGACGAGGTTGTTTTCAAGCGACTCGGTGGTGATGTTCGTGACGTAGAGCACATGCGACCAGAGTTTTGCGTCTTGGGCAGTGTAGACGGAAACACTGCGGTGGGGTGTTTTCAACTTTTCCACTCCGGAGGGTGTTTTTTTTTAAACCCCAAAAACGCCGTCACCGTCTAAACGAAAGGCACTTTTGATCAAATATTTTGTCGTTTTACTCACAAGTGTAAACCGGACCTCAGTGTCAAACAACAAATCAGATCTCGACCTCTGTTTAATTTAAGGTTTATTATAATAACATCAAATAAATAACACCAATCAAAAAACAGATCTCAGTGACTATTTCGTTTTGATTTTTTATTTTCTCTTTCACTTTATTTTGAAGTTTTGCTGCTGAAGGATGAACCGGAAAATTTGTTTCAGTTCTGGGACAAACATGTTTCTTCTTTTACAGCGACACGTTTATTTTCACGTCTTACAAAGGCCACAGCAAAAATCGACTCTCACAGATTCAATTTTAACATTTTCTCAGAGTTTATTTGAGTCCAATCTGTCCTAGAGTTAATTTAACACTTTTGGAAATGTTCATGAAGTAACACTGGACCAAAGTTCCTGTTTAACCTGAAATCCAGAGTTATATGAACGTTTAGAGAGTAAACAGATAACACTTTGTAGAGTTATTCTGATTTAACTAAACAACACACAGAGGAGTTTTATTTTTATACTTTATTTTAGTTAATTTAAGATGAAATTGGTTCAAACTGGTCTTCACTCACAGAAGTTTGAACTGATGGATGGGAGGAGACAAATTAACACTAGAGGAAGTTAAATTAACACTAGGGGAAGTTGAATTAACACTAGATGAAGTTAAATTAACACTCGTTGAAGTTAAATTAACACTCGATGAAGTTAAATTAACACTAGAGGAAGTTGAATTAACACTAGATGAAGTTAAACTAACACTAGATAAAGTTAAATTAACACTAGAGGAAGTTAAATTAACATTAGATGAAGTTAAATTAACACTAGATAAAGTTAAATTAACACTAGATAAAGTTAAATTAACACTCGCTGAAGTTAAATTAACACTAAAGGAAGATGAATTAACACTCGATGAAGTTAAATTAATACTAAAGGAAGTTGAATTAACACTAGATGAAGTTAAACTAACACTAGATGAAGTTAAATTAACACTCGTTGAAGTTAAATTAACACTAAAGGAAGTTGAATTAACACTAGATGAAGTTAAACTAACACTAGATAAAGTTAAATTAACACTAAAGGAAGATGAATTAACACTAGATAAAGTTGAATTAACACTCGTTGAAGTTAAATTAACACTAGATAAAGTTAAATTAACACTCGATGAAGTTAAATTAACACTAAAGGAAGTTGAATTAACACTAGATAAAGTTGAATTAACACTCGTTGAAGTTAAATTAACATTAGATGAAGTTAAATTAACACTAGATGAAATTAAATTAACACTAGATGAAGTTAAATTAACACTAGATAAAGTTAAATTAACACTAGATAAAGTTAAATTAACACTCGTTGAAGTTAAATTAACACTAAAGGAAGTTGAATTAACACTAGATGAAGTTAAACTAACACTAGATAAAGTTAAATTAACACTAGAGGAAGTTAAATTAACATTAGATGAAGTTAAATTAACACTAGATAAAGTTAAATTAACACTCGTTGAAGTTAAATTAACACTAGGGGAAGTTGAATTAACACTAGATAAAGTAAAATTAACTCCAACTCCAACACACATTTAACTTTCAAAGAGTTAAAATAACACTTTTTGTGTTAAAAACAACTCTGAAATATTTCACCCTGAAATTTAATCCCTCCAGTTTTTGTTGTGTAAATGTTGAACTCGACGAGAAACAGGAAACAGCGAGAAACTCTCCTTTGTTCAGTCGACTCCACAGAAATATAATAAAATCTAAAAAGTTTTGAATTATTGATCCATGTTTGACTCTGAATTCAGAGCAGCAGAACGTCAAATAAACCAGAGAGAAACAAATATCCAAATTAAAATAGTCCCAATGTCCCAATGTTTTTTGATTGTTGTAATTTGAAATAAACTTTCAATTAAATATTGGAAATAGAGGTCGAAATCTGTTTTTTTTTTTTTTTTGTTTGACACTAAAACAGCAAAATTAAATAAACTGTTTTCCCATTTTATTGTTTTTTTTTTGGTTCTTTCAGGCGTTTCACTTTTTCCAGCAGCAGTAACATCTGTTCCTCATCACAATCAGAGTTGAACTTGTGTTTTGTTTCATTCACATGTTTGAGTAACTCTTTATTATGAGTCTGTTTACATTTCCAAAACTCAAAAAACAAAAAAATGTTCCACCTTGTGATGTCATGATGTGGTAGTTTTCATGTGAACAGCTTCTGGTGGGTTCTGATTGGGTAGAAGGTCACCTCCAGTCTCAGACAGTGACAGTGGGCTCCTGGGCTCCTGGGCTCCGGGGCTCCGGGGGGTCGGGGGGGTCAGGAGAGTCACGGGGTCACGGGGTCACGGGGGTGGAGCAGGACGTCCCCTCAGGTCTTCAGAGTTCTTCAGGTTAAAGTGTAACTGTCCTGGTTTGTTCTCGTGTAAATCCAGACTTCCTCTTTCCTTTTGTGACGCGAGAGAAACAGGAGCAGGAAATAAGGCTCAGAACGTTAACTTCACCTCTGCTCCACCTCCACAGGAGCTCACACTGTGGAGCTCTGACTGCAGACGCTCTCCACCAAACATCACACGTCTTCTGGTGGAGCAGATCGTGTCTGTGACCAGGTCTGGACTCAAAGACGTGTAAATTCTGTCTGTTATTTGGAGTCTCACTCTGACACTTGGACGTCGATCTGCAGTTAAACATCTGAACTTTTTTGGACGTCATGTGGACGTCTGACAAAGGCAGGAAAATCATGTGATTAATGCTCATGGAAACTGTGTGTGTTTGTTGGGGAAATGTTGGTGAATTTGAAGTTTAATGTTTGAAGTTTGAAGTGGAAAACTTGTGAAGTGTGTCCTTCATGTTCTTGGAACTCCACGAGGCTCAGCAGATTAAAGTGGAAAAACTTTACACTTTTGTGTTTTCAATTTCTGTTGCTGAGACAAAATGAACTGAAACATTCTGCCTCCGTCTGAAACAGCCTCACGTCTGCGCAGAAACGAGGAAGAGGAGCCGAGAAAACGACCTGAAATGAGTTTAAATATAACATGTAACATGTAACATTATTATTAGATGTAGTAGTAGTAGTAGTAATAGTAGTAGTAGTAGTAGTAGTAGTAGTAGTAGTAGTAGTAGTAGTAGTAGTAGTAGTAGTAGTAGTAGTAGTAGTAGTAGTAGTAGTAGTAGTAGTAGTAGTAGTAATAGTAGTAGTAGTAGTAGTAGTAGTAGTAGTAGTAGTAGTAGTAGTAGTAGTAGTAGTAGTAGTAGTAGTAGTAGTAGTAGTAGTAGTAGTAGTAATAGTAGTAGTAGTAGTAGTAGTAGTAGTAGTAGTAGTAGTAATAGTAGTAGTAGTAGTAGTAGTAGTAGTAGTAGTAGTAGTAGTAGTAGTAGTAGTAGTAGTAGTAGTAGTAGTAGTAGTAGTAGTAGTAGTAGTAGTAGTAGTAGTAGTAGTAGTAGTAGTAGTAGTAGTAGTAGTAGTAGTAGTAGTAGTAGTAGTAGTAGTAGTAGTAGTAGTAGTAGTAGTAGTAGTAGTAGTAGTAGTAGTAGTAGTAGTAGTAGTAGTAGTAGTAGTAGTAGTAGTAATAGTAGTAGTAGTAGTAGTAGTAGTAGTAGTAGTAGTAGTAG